TTGCGCCAAGAATAATTCACTTGGCGAAATTCTTTATTTATGGCAGCCAATTTTCCTTTCGCGTTTTGCATTGTGCATGAGCGTATAAGAAGTCACATCGTTCTTGCTTTCAAATCATTTTAACAAAGCACCTAACCGCATTTCATGTTATCATCTCTTTCAACAAATATGCCAAATTTCAAAACGTGCCAATATATAAATTCACGTACATCTTGGGAAATTTTGTATAAAAATCTCCACTTTTTGAAGGTATGGTTAGAAATATGCCTACTTTAAGATGATGGTAAAAATTCTATACATTATAATTCAAAATGATTTTCAACAAATTTATAAAAATTACTTAAAAATACAAATTTAAAAAGTAAATTACAAAAAAGGGTGAAATTTATTTTGAAATGTGAAAGGAAGAAACAAATATGTTTAATAAAAAGAGAGAAATAAATATATACCAAACTCAATTAAAAAGGAGGAGCTAATATTTTGAGAACAAATCATTTAAACATTACTCGAGCGATTTTTTACAAAACTTGGCATGTCATTTCAGAAAAACTCCGATTTTGTATCAAAATACCTATATTAGAACAATGCTATATATAAATCCAATATGTATCCTAAGTCGCGCTATAGAGACATTAAAGACGTAATTTGAATTTCGTCAATCGGCCCAATAGAACGGATGATATAGAACTGTTCCATTTTTTAGTCCAAAATGGCAGTGTCCCTGAAGGACTATTGTTTTAGTTTTGCGATTTTGCGTTGGTTCACTATAAATGTCTGTTTCACTTTTTAAACTGTTGCCACTAAATGCTATCACCCTGCATTATATTTGAAGAAATTAAATCATGAAAACATCATAAATATATGTCCATTTCTCGCATTGTGATAAAACAATGGTAAATACAGCAATTGAATTTTGAATGACGTCATCGTACTCCGAATATGGGCATGTGAAAGCCCAAACTTGAAATTTGGAATTTGTTTTATAATCAATTCCATATTTTGTAAAACGTAAACGAATTTTCTATTAGCAAGCTCAAAGATTTCAAAGCGAGCCATGGCGACGTTGTACAGAATTTTTTTTTTTTTTTTTAATCTTCAGCGCGTGAGTCTGCGTATCAGAAGTTCTAAAGATTTGCTCATTTAAAACTATTTTGGGTACTTTTCCATTTCGCCGGCGCAAATCTCGCCAAGCAGACTTTATTGGCGTCAACACAGTATACACATAAAAAATATTTAAAAAAAAATGTTAGTTTTAAGAATTCTTTTTTTTAAAGGCATAAACATTTTAATATCGCTTAAAATTTTATAAAAAACCGATAAATAAAGACATTAATTTAAGAATTTACTACGCTTTCATGGTTCATATCACGTGACCCGAAGCGATCTCTTCTCACGTAAACTACTCTCTACAAAAATCTAATGCTCTCAGTAATTATCTACATTAATTTCAAGTTAAATCTTAATTTGGAACACAAATTTAAATGCAAAAAATATTTCAATTCGTACGAATAGCTTACTCAGAAATTATGTAAAACTGCAGTACTTTACTTCGCTAATGCATTCTCATTAGAATGATTTGAATTTAACTCTTGACTTTACCTTTTCTATATTTTCGGCTTCGGGTAAGCGCTGTGATTGCATCCTAATTGACTTAATTACCGAAAATGGCCTTGGACATAAAACTGAACTATCTGATAAAAATTCTATGTAATTATATGTCAGTATTGAAAGAAACAATCAATCTGATAAGAAAAAGCTGCGACTTGTTTTGAAAATGAGGCGTAAAAGGTTACCAGCGAGAATATTCCGTTTCGCATCGGTTGCACCATTATTAGAGACTTTATCGCTTGCGCCGGTAAAACGGAAAAGTACCCTATTTTGCCATATTGTTGTTGAACTGAACTTTATGGTTTAAGTGCGAAGAACGTGATATTTAATAAATAAATGTAACACTCAAAATGTTAAAAAAACGCCCCTTTGGACGTAAATTTATCTTATTTTTAAATAAATTTATTTTTAAAATTATTTTTTATTTTATTTATTTATTTTTGCGCAGTGTACTTGTTAAGAACTATATATGTATGGATATGAATATCCAAAAAACACTGAAGTCTCTCAATTAAATATATTTTCTTTCTTGATGATTTGATAAAATTGCTCAGATTTTTAAAGCTAAGAGAACTGTACTTTTTTAAATAATATGCATGAAACGTAACCTATATTAATTAAAGGTTAGTTTAGGAAAAAAATGCATGCATGATGTATTGAAGTTACAAAACAGTCGAAGCGCTACCTTTTTACTCATACCTTGGCTAAATTAATTTTTTATGCTATCGCTATTCGTTTCGAATTACCTTCTGCCTGATATTCCACCCCAACAGAAAGTGTAATTCGCAGTTAGTTTCATGAGATGAGAGTTTTGCGTGTACTATGGGGGAAGAAATATAGCCGCCACTGATTAAAAAAAGTCACTGCATCTCGTATGTCCACGTATTTCCTCGGTATTAATCGTATTCTCGATACTGCTGGAGGCAAACCGAGAAGCTACGAGTACAATGATTAGATTGATCGGTAAGTACCTTTACGTCCGTTTTTCCGTCCCTTGTTGAATTGCAGTTATTCTCCTATGTCCTGTTTTGGGATTTAATTGGTCCGGGGTATAAAATGATAATTGGTTGCTATTGATCCGCAAATACCCGGAGAGGAGGTTGCATCTAATACTTTTTATACTCAGAAATATATATATATATATATATATGTATATATGTGAGATAAAAATATATGTAAATCGGCTGTATAGTTTAATTTAGCAATAGTCTCTTACTCCTCATTTTCCTCCCTCGTACGAAGTAAAAGTATTGTAATCGCAAAAAATTCCGGGTACCATATTTCAACAAAAATACCCATTTTGACCGCTATCGAATGCAATTTAACGATGTTTTTGCGTGACATCTGTGTGTAAGGTCAGAATAACTCTTCTCATCTAAAACGAATTATAAAACTGATTTAAAATGGATTCAGAAGAGATTTTTCCTGCTATCTGTACGTACGTACATATGCATGAATATATCTCGCATAACTCAAAAGATTAACTCAAAGATTCAACAGTCTGAGTTTACTCGGTTGAAATTTTGTATATAGGACTACTATAATATGTAGTTGTGCATCTCCCTTTTTGGTTGCAATCGGCCGCAACTAAAGTATATAAATATGTATATGTATACTAACTCTGTTATTCGGCTCTGGAAAAATCATTCATTTTTGTTCTTATATGTCGGTAAATTGTGCTTTTTTTTTTTTCTCTCTAAAAATGATTATGTTGTTCTTATCTTCCGGTTAAGGTTTCTATGAATTTAGCTATTCTGAATGCAGCAGTTGTAGAATATAAAAGTTTCAAGTATGAAAGTCAACAATATAAAAGTTGTTTAAGTGCGGCTAAGCCTAACTTTTTTTAGCACAACAGCCGTATTTTTTACATTTGAAAATTAGGAGAATAGAGGAATTCTTTCTTCAACTTGAGTGTCGTTTTTCTGAGACCAAAAGGAAACTTTTAGTTTTGTGCACCGAAATATCTGCCTTCTTGTCTACTGCCTAATTGTAAGTTTTTGCGTAGAAACTAATTTTAATTGTAAAAATTGTTCTTTTAACTGCATTTACAGCTTTCAATGTTTAATTAAAATATGTAGAGACATTGGGTATTTTTTAGAAGCAGGGAAGATGAAAAATATGCAACGCCTTCGCAGGGAATCGAACCGCTGACATCTGGAATACACGCCCAGCGTGCATACCACCACACCACGAGGGCATGCCAAGAAGGCGGGAGAAAAGACTTGATTTGAGATTATATGTATTTTCCCTTTCCGCGAACTGAATTAATAAGAAATATAACTCTAATGAAATTCGAAGAAATAAGTTTTAATGAAGTGCAGGAAAAAGTGCGTATAATTTAATATTCCCTACAAGGAAGTCATGCGGTGTACACCATCAGCTTATTCATTTGTGTACTTCCTCTCTTTGTTCTAAAAATAGTAATAACATTTTTGGACTGCATCATTTCTAGTTCAATCTACGTCACATGACTTGCGTAATGGTGACGACGTACCTGATTCGGAAACAGAACACAAAATTTTAGGAATTGAAAATTTCTCTTATAAGGGATTTTAAACCTAAAGCTTCTCTTAATGGGCTACCAAACTGGGTAACTGCGCACTTCCACTTCTACCTCTGTTACTTTCTTCGCAATATTTTCAAAAAATGTGAAAATTCTGGAAATAGATACGATTAGGCTGCCAAGTGAGCTGTGGCCACAAATGTCAGCTGAAATGAATTTATAATCTTACTTGGCTGCCAAGTTTTCTCTACAATGTGGATATAAGTTCTATGCCATCAGCACTGCTACGTCTTTGTCATCCCATACCCATCTATAGATCTATATCTATAGATAGATAGATAGAGAAAAATACAGCTCGAAAGAAATGTATAAAATTGTTAACTTCTTAAATTTTGCATTGGATTTTTGTTCGAATGTAATTCTACTTTTAAAATGTAAAAAGAAAATTTCGTTTAAATGTTTAACTCTTTCACAAGTAATAGCTATAGAGGGAAAGAAGACGTTTGAATGCATTACTTGCATGCTATTTCCTCCTTTATGGTGAAAATATAATCTTCAACGTTTATAAAAGGTATAGTATATTTAAAACTGATGTAGACAATGGTACTTAAAAAAAATATACGTACTTTTAATAAACAAATGGCTAATTTAGTTACTAGTAGTAGTATCTGCTAGTAGGAGTGTATATTAGTAGTATTATATATTGATATTGGTTGTATATCTACTACTACTACTGCTGCTGCTGCTCTTTCTCCTCCACCTCCTCCTGCTACTGCTCCTCCTCCTCCTGCTTTTGATGCTCCTCCTCTTGTTCATGCTCCTCCTTGTGCTGCTACTCCTCCTGATGCTATTGCGCTTGCTTCTCCTCCTGATGTTGCTCCTCTTCATCATGTTGCTGCTCCTCCTGCTTGCTGCTGCTCCTCCTCCTCCTGTTGCTGCTTCTCCTCCTCCTGTTGTTGTTTATCCTCCTCCTGTTGTTGCTTATCTTTTACCTCCTGTTGTTACTCCTCCTCCTGCTACTGCTACTGCTGCTGCCGCCGCTAAAACTCCGGGAAAGTTTTAAAATACCCTTTATTTCAAGGCAAAATGATTTAACAAATGGACCCTTTTCGGTGTAAAATAAGCCTCCACTCTGGCTTTAACTCGAAATAGAAAATAGAAACCAATCTAATGCTACACAGAATTAACCATCCGAGGCTGCACAGAGTCAACTCGTAGGGTTAGCACTTATTGAAAGATCACCGCGTAAACTATGAGGCAAGCATTGGGTACGATCACAGAAAAAATAGCGAGGTTAGAGTAATAGCTACAACATTACTGAAAGGCAGAATACGCTCTTTTACTCAAGTGACCCAGACTTCAAATTAAATGCTCGTTTTCACCTCATTTGCATAAACCATAATTCTGAATATTCGTGTTTTTGAGTGGCCATGTTCCGTTAGAGAACTACGTTATTTTACAAACTTTGATGGCTACAGGTACGTTGTTTCTTTACACTACGAAAACATTCATGCATTCCTGCGGATTCTTCGTTACATAGGTTCTTTAACTATAATACAGGGCGGTAATATTTGGTGGCATCAGTATGAAAAGTGAATCGACATAAAATGCCATTTTGAAATTAATAACCCTTCTGGTCTAACGCCCTTTGGGGTAATAACTATTACGAAAATAAAGTAAAACGGTACACATACGAATAAAAATTGAGTTTGGTTTTGTTTCGTTTCAAGAGTCATATAAATTATAAGAAAAATGTTCCCAATAACCTGCTTATATTGTGATTGTACAAATTGTTGTCTACAAAAACAGATTTACATTTCGTAGCAGAAAAGCCAATGTCTGGTTACACAAGCCGTTTTCTAAAAATTTAACAATCCTATGATTAGAATATGGTAAAAAATTTGAACAAATGGTCAGCTGCTGCTGACATAAGTTTTGCTATTCTACAACAGAAGTGTCTACTCATATTTTGCGTTTATAGAACAACTTGAGAAGTAAACCTTACGATGCGTAAATGTTGATTCACGTTCTTTATCGGCTTGCGTCGCCAAAGCGCTGGTGCTTCTTAACAACCTAAGCCGATTATTTGATCTTTTATTTTCTTTGAGTGCATAGAACGTGAAAGAATCTTATTTACTCAATGTCTAACGCACATTTCTTTAGGAAGGAAGTGGCTAGGACATCACTGTTTGCTTTATTAGGAAGCGCAAATATAATTAAAGTTTGATGACAAGGTGGTATTTATGGTAAAGAACATGTACTTTCTTTTATGTACATAAGCGAGGAACACCAGTACATAAATTTTATCTTTTTAAATTCCTACTATTAGCTCAAACTCTCCCTAAATCCTGTTCCAAATTTTCAATGTTTAACTTTTTATTCATCCACTTAAGTACAAATACATTTTTTTAAACTTCTAGTGGATAACACTTGATGTTAATTCAGTTTTTTCACGTATTAAAGTCAATGCTTGCTTATTTATTTCTGTTTATCGGAACTAAAGATATGCTGTTTTTATTAAATATATTATAAGACTTACAAATAATGACCGTTTATGAGGAATTCTCATCTGCTAGAAAAATTAATTTTATAACAACTTATAAATAATAGTACATGACTGTGATAAATGGGATTGTAATATTTAACAAAAATAAGTGGCAACAGCAAGACGGTGTTTTAAAGATTTTTAAAGTGTATGGAATTAAAGAATTGTACATTTATAGAGTTGGATGAAGCGGACGTAGTATGCCATTATGGGTAGCGAAAATTTTCCCCACATTTCTATGTTAACGTGATAATAATATAGGTTTAAAATATAACTTTTTTAAAAATATCCCTTCCTTATTAAAATAAAAACATAGCACTCTAGATTATGCAGTAATATATATCTAGGACGAAAACTCTTCGCAGCAAGTCAAGCATATGTAGCCTTGAGTCGTGTGAAATCATTAATTAGATGGAATATTAGTTGAAGAACTTAACTATTCGAAGAAACTTACTGAAAAGATTCCTTGCAATAATGAAGCATTACAAGAGATGTATAGGACGAGAAATTTTAGACCACCATTAGCTTCATAAATTAGAAACAAAAAGATGTTAATAATGTTAATAAAAAGAAACTAAAATAAATTAAGTCCTACTGTGAGCTACCAACCAAAATGACTACCAACGTTTTTCTTTTTTTTTTTTTTTTTTTTTTTTTTTCTTTTCTTTTTTTTAAACCTCTTACTTTTGTTTATTGCCCATAAACTTATATTTCTAGAAAATATGAAATCAGTTTTAATTAAACTGTATATAACAAAAAGAAAATGAAATTGAATTGTACATAAGGAAAGAAATCGAAATGTAGTTAGTAATAAATAAGAAGTGTAATAACGGATTTTTATCGGACCTATTAATTTTAATACGAGAACTGGAACACTCTTTTGTCATCAGGAACTTTTTTAATGGTGGGAGAGTTGGTAGTGGCTGTCATTCGAATACAGTTGTCCAAGTGTTCATCAGCATGTGTGTTTCTGTACTTACATTTAATAAATTTCATACTGGAAAAGAAAATCTCACACAGAGAGCTGAACATTGCCTTCACATTGAGACAAACTTGTACAAAAGTTGGGCATTTTTCTTAAGGAACAAGACGCCAATTATTTTCATAACTCGAAGAAAGTGATTTTACAGATAAATCCTTTTTAAAATTAACCAGTTCCAACTCCAAATGTAGCATTGCCTTCTTGAAAATCAAAATTCTGCATGACACAAGTACAGAACTCTTCAGCATCAGTCTGTAAAAAAAGACAATTTGTCAAACTGGTGCAACAACATAAATCCTTTTGAAATCTTCGAAGCGTTTGTATTTCACTTCTCAGATCTGAAGTAATTTCAGCGTAATGATTGCTGTTGTAAGGAGGCTTTTAAGACACTTGCTCGCCAAGGGTTTTGTTTCAAACAGGCAAAGTGTTTGTATTCACCTTTTATGATACCCCCCCCTCAGTTCCAGCATCTTTGAAAATGAAGCAACATCTGTAATTGTTACACCGATATCTTTATTCTTACATTGAAGTATCAAGTTAAGGATACTTAACTTTTCGGTGATGTCTGCGAGAAAAGCTGTCTCCTGCAGCTAAACCGGATTTGCTAGTTCACGGAAGGATTTGTCCCGTTATTTGAAATATTCCTACTAAACACTTGAAAATGCTGTAAAACTCTCTCGCTACTCAACCAACGAACTTCCGATGGAAGCACTAGATCACCATACTAGCAGTCTAGCTCATCAGTCAGTGCTCTGAACAAACGTCTCGGAATTGCGTGTGCTGTGGCTTTGTTCACTATTTTATGACTGTTTCCATTACATTGTTCATACTTCAAAATAATCATCGTTAATAATAATTATAAACATAAAAGTGAAGCAAAAGAACAAATACAAACATTTAGACAAGAGCAAACACCAAAGACACACACACACACAGAGGAAAAAAAAAACGCGAACAACAAACACAAACAATGGTAACAAGAAATTAGTAAAAAAGACCAAATCGTGATATCAATATAAAGCAAAAATCATACACTTATTACCACTGCCCGGCGCTCACCGTTAATAATTTTCATCAAAGACTTACACAATTGTGAGAAATCTTTATAGCATAAAAGGGATTTTCAAAATAAATTTTTTTTTGTTGTTTCATAAGCACAGACCTCGAGGAATGCTCAGCATCACCAGACAACCACATAGTTTACATTTATCGTCGTCCTGTATTTTAAACCTAGCGAAGTATCCCGGGAAATGCCCATGTCCGGTCAGAAACTGGTTAACTTTAAAATCATTGAAGATAATATTCTTTTCTTAGTCAGTTCTGTTTCAAATAACGACTTTTCCTTTCAAAAGTATTCCAATATGTACGAATATGTACCAAATTTCAATAAGTATTCCAATATTTCTATTGCTTAAAATAATACGAATAAATAAATTTTGCTATATTTTTTTAACCCTGAACATAGGGCGTCCCCGAAACACTCCCAAAGGCAGCCTCTTTTACGAGCACATCAGCTCTCTCGTTACTGAATATTCCAATATGGGCTTTAAGCCAGCCAAACTTAATATTAAATAATTGAAATTTCGGAAATCTGTTGTCTTCCAGATGCTAATGATAGAAAGAAAAGACCTAATGCCATTTATTTCTCTCATTAGCATCTGGAAAGTTTTTGTGAAGAATATGACGGGTTTGGTTTATTTGATTACGGCAAAGCCTCAAGAGTTATCTGCCCAAGAGGAGGGATGCCTTCGTGGAGGATTTTCTAAGAAAAACTAAATTTTATGCACATTACACATGGGGAAAATCATCAACACGACAATGCAGCCAGCCCTTTCACGGGATTAGAACCTCGGACCGAACTGCCAGTGTTCAGTGACTTTACTGCTCGGTCGTTGGTGTGGCCCTTGATTGTTTCAGAACAGTGGTTCTCTTCTTAGGACTAAATATATGATCATAGTTCATACTTTAGATCATATGTCATTCTTCTGTATGATCATCATTCAAACAAAGGAAAAGGAAGGGTATTTTAATGTTTATTAAAGTACATAGGATAATTTAAAGAATTTTGCATGTTTATCTACGTAAGGGCTTATATTTATGTTAAGTGCCTAGTATTTCAGTGCATAATATAACTGTGTGTTATTTATCTGCATACTAAACACTAAATCACAAGAAATTCATTTTTTTTATATTTAACGGCTCAAAGTAATCAGCGTGAATGCACAGATGGGTTTCCCGGTCGTAAATTATTTTCTATGCTCCCCAAACTTTGCTCTTAATCGCGTTTTTATTTGTAATGTGGTCGACATAAATCTTCCGAATGGAGAAAGAAAATCAATTCAGGAGCAACTCCTGGATTTAATGTTGTTAGATGAGACACTTTATCAGAACGGTTTTCCCGAAAAAAAAAAAAAAAAAAACAGCGTGTTACTTTAGCGTTAAAAATATTAATTGATGTCGAAAGGTATTCAATGTAGAAGAAGCAAATTATTTAAATACTATTTACTGATTTGTCTTAACTGTGAACTATTAATCACACTGTAATCTCTTAAATGTGAAAAATAGTTTTCTGTCTTAGCTTGACAAAACTCCGAAGGTATTACGCTCGGCTAGCAGCACTATGTTTAAGTTAATAAGGTCATTTAAAGTGACTTTGTGTTTTAAACTGCTATTATTAAAAATTTAAATCTACAAAATGACATTTGAAATAAGAAATAAAATGTAAGCTGGGCACATATTGTTGCGTTCTACAGGTTCGTGAATTTGGAGTGATTGATGATGACACTTAAAATGAAGAATCAAAACACAATTTATTGGACAGTATTACATAGTACAGTCCCAAAGACACGTTTACAGTCGTCTATAAACTACGATGAACACGTTGAAACAATTAAGAACACAGCCTGTATGCTATAACGGGAAAACAACTTTACGGCAAAGCACTAAAGTACAGCTCCCGACTCAGTCGATCGCTCTCAGGCTATTCGCTCAACTCCACTTTGCTACTGAACTCAAGATACTACTACAGGCAGGTTATATATAGCTTTAACTTTTCATCGAAAGCTGCCAAGAATGCGTTCTATAATGTTCTCGATTGGTCTGCGGCATATCGCCAATTTCGTATCCAAATATCGCCAAATGGGTGATTTCCCGCCAGACTTGGTAACCCTGCCTTTCTTTGCCGCTTTCTGGCAACCCTAAACCCGCTTTGCAGCAAATGTATTTTACCGCAGCTAGGCCTTCCGCAACATCTTACTTACATGCATTATATATGTTACCGGTAAATTATGAAATGCCGACATTCTGTAGAATGACTAGGCATTGTATATAATGCCGGACGTTTCTAGGAAAAGTATGAAGTATGAGAAGTACTACGTATTTTCTACAGCCATTGTATATAACACCTAGGCATTCTATAGAATGACAAATGCTCTTTAGTCAAAGTAGGAAAAAAATCTTATGACAGGGCTATTATTTAAAAGATGTTCATTCCTCAAAAATACAAATGTTATTTTGAAAAATTAATGAAAGAGTGCCATTAAAAATCTGTTATTCGAAATATGTGAAACAAATAGTGAGATGATTTTGATGCAATATAATAAATTTATATTTCCTATCTGGCTCAGACTGGGAATCGGTAAGATCTATCTGACAACGGAAATTACATTCAGAAAGAATCATAAGTTTCCCAACAATGTCCTTTTTAGAAACTTTTTTTTTTCTGGCAGGGATCACAAAGGTGGTTGTAGAGTTGAATATCATTATGCGTAACGTTTTTGCATTTGGTTGAAAGGTCTTTCAACATTCTGTCACGTCATCCGTGTCCTGTACTCAAACGAGTTTTCATGATGTACGGCAAATAACTCAGCGTCTGTTAAGTAATACTATATAGTACTGACGCTTTCTTTAGGAGGACAAATAAATGTAATTTTGTTTTCCACAACCATCACGTCCTGACGATTCAGCGGCCAGTAGTCTCGTTGTTCCTTCTTAGTAGTCATTTTGACATTTTTTACATAGTTTATTAACTTTTGGTAAGTAGTTTCGGTTCTTCGAACTTTCTTCTGTTATACAAACAATGCTAAGTAAATTATAGCCTTACATTTTTAAGCTCTCTTAAGACAGTGTCTTTATAACAACATCGACATAGTTTGGGACATTTTGTAGCCTTGTAGGCATAAGTCTTACGACTACAGTGCTTCCTAACGTTGCTCGAAAGACAAAAGTTACGTAGTATAAAATCCAATGACTTGTATATTTGCTGCCGGAACCTTCATTTGAAGCAAAACTCGAGGGTTATCTGCCTAAGGGGAGGAATGACTTCGTGGAGGATTTTCTAAGGGAAACTGAATCGTATACACGTTACACATGGAGAAAACCACGAAAACGGTAATGCAGCCAGCCCGTTCGCTAGATTTGAACCTCTGAACGAACTACTAGCGTTCAGCGACTTCACGCTCCGCCGTTGGTGGGGCCCTTGGTTGTTTTAGAACAGTGCTTCTGTTCTTAGAACTAATTACATGATCGTTGTTCGTACTTTAGATCATAATTCATACTTCTGTATGGTCATCATTCTTACTTTTGGAAGCTGAAACAATGGTAGTTTGTTGTTTATTAAACTATATACCATAAATTAAAGAATTTTGCGTGTCTATCTAAATAAGGGCTAATATTTATTTTAAGTGCCTAGTATTTCAATGCATAATATAACTGTATGTTATTTATCTGCATACTAAGGTCTAAATCACAAGGAGAACAGAGCACCTCTTGATTTTTACATCAATTTCGTTGAACTACTAAAATGTTCAATGAAACTAATGTAAAAATCAAGAGACTCTCTGTTTAGGAAAATGGTATGCGGTATCAAAACGTTTATTTTCTAAAACTAAGGGATTCATTTTTTTCATTTACTACACACCTTAATTTTATGTACTAGAGTTTTACTGGTAATGACTCAATTTGGTGGAATATGTAATTTAAAATTTACAAATTGAAGGTATGTTAATTTTCAAAAAATCATATTATTTGATATTATTTCTCTCAACGTGCTCTAATCAAAATATATACATAGCGTTAGAAAAACATTTATCTCATTGAGGAACAGAGTATGGAAACGAACTTATAAAACAAAATGGCAGAATTCTTTTACACAGTCCTGCAGAGCGGAAATTCTTAGGCGCATGCACTACAGATTTTCTCAAACTGTGGGTCGCGACTCCCAAGGGAGCCGCGGGACCTGCAGCAGCAGAGGTCGCCAAAAATTTTAGCGGTTTTAATATTTCTTTAATTTATTATAATAATTTTACAATTACCAAATGTTTTTACGCAATATATCTGAAACTAGATAAAGATAAGACAATACAGACAAAGAAAAAAAAAAAAAAAAAAAAAAAAGAAAACGTTTTGACGCGTTCTTTCTATAATATAAACGTTCGTTTTACTTGCTTTGCACGTGATGCTCTCATTTCGTCTATTACTTATTTAAAATTTTCACACTGTTTCTATGTCTTAAAGTTAGAAATTAACGTTAATGACTAAAACTTCAATAGTATATTACAGTACAAGTGAAAAAATTGATAGTTTCACTCACGCGTGTGTAGGATTGGCGCAGTACCTAAGAGATCCAACAAAATTTTTTTAAATATTATGGAGTCTTGGGGGTTGCGAAAAAATCTGTGATAAAAAGGGAATCGTGACTGAAAAAAACGTTTAAGAAACCCTGCGCTAGAGGAAAAAATCGGGACATTTTCGTTGATGGAAAAATGCGGGGGGGGGGGGGAAGTAAAAACCCAATTTTTTTTTAATTTAAAATTTAAAATATAAATACAAACCCCTTCACACCAGCACTCACGTTTTCAGTATTCCTAATTGCATCCTATTACTACTACCATTCTTATCAATTTTATTGCAAATAACTACTCGTACACATCCTCATTTCTTTCTTGTTTATACCTAGGAAAGCCACATCTCCTTATCAAGCTTTTTTTTTTTTATTATCTAATATGTAAGCTGCGTATATCAAATTGGTGGTGCGTATTTAGCACTTCTGGTGTCGCATCAATCAAAAATGTATTCTAAGAAATTAACAAGTTATTAACAAGACCGCATTGACTTATAATGCGTTGACATTAAATTGTTCTTATGTGTGTGTTTTGGGCATACTTATTAAACAATTAGCCCCTTGCAAATTAAACATATCGAACATAAAATCTTATATTAAAAATAGGTACTGAAAATGCCAAAAACATATGTAACAACATGTTTGCTTTGGTATGTCAGCACGTAATAAAGGAATGATTAAATTATTCAAGACATAGCTGTGTATTTATTTCTCTGGATCTCTTGCTCACAAATTTTGCAAGAAATATTTTCCTAAAGAATGAATTTTTTTTTTCCTTTAAGAAATTACTTCTCGAGAATATGAGATCTGCGAAATAAAAAGATTAAAAACCTTCAGCACCTGTTTAATGCTGCAAGTAGAATAATAGCTTAAATGAAATAACCTGCAGATTACAAAAATGCAAAAAGTTGTAATTTAAAATTCTAATTTTTTTAAAATTCTACATGCATTTAAAACTAATTCGAATGCTAATAGAATCATTTTTTCAATAAAAAGAAACGTTGAGCGAAGAAAGTTTGCATAAGGTGCATATTGAATATTCCCATTTTTTATAGCTAATAAAAGATTATTAATTTTATTAGTCCAAAGGGGCGATTTGCTCAGAAGGACTGTTAATTTCATTTTGGCATCTTAGGTTGATTCGCTACGAACAATAATTCACTTTTTAAATTGTTGCCACCATATATTAGAGCCATGTGTTATGTTTAAAGAAATTAAATAATGAAGAATCTACATGAATATACGTATGTTTCTTGCATTGCGATAAAACAACGGTACCTAGAGCTATTCAATTTTGAATAACCTACGTTTCCACCCGAATATGGGAATATGGAAGACCGAAATTGGAATTTGTTTTAATATCTATTTCATATTTTGTTAAACGTTACTGCTACTAGTAGTATTTGTGAAACTTAATACCAATAGCAATATTAACAACATACTTTTATTACTAGTACTTCTATTGCTATTACTGCTAGCAGTAGTACTGCTATTAGTGCTAGTGCTGCTAGTAGTTATAGTATTGCTAGTGCAGCTAGCATTAAAGCTAGTGCTGCTAGTAGTTCTAGTGTTGCTAGTGCAGCTAGCATTAAACCTAATGCTGCTAGCAGTTCTGGTGTTGCTAGTGCAGCTAGCATTAAAGCTAATGCTGCTAGTACGTGCACTTCCAGTGCTACTAGGAGTACTAGTGCTACATAAAAGGTTGTTGTAGCCGTTTCTGCCGTTGCTGCTACTACTACGACGAATACTAGTACTCTAGTACTTATAGTACTAGCAGTAGTACTATTAGCTTGAGTTGTTTGACTAAATTACTATTAGTACTAGTATTTTTAGTAGCTAGTGCTAGTACTCCCGGTACTACTAAAAACCGCTGGAACCTTAAAATGGTCATCAAGTTTGCAGACTATTTTGGATCTTTATGAAAGTGGTCGACTAAAAGAAAGGTCTATATGCAGTAAAAATTTTCTATACTGTATTACATCACACAAAATAAGACGTAGAAAAACATTTGCATTTATTTCTTTTATTCATATAAATCCTTGCGTAAAGAAAAGAGGAAAGAACTATTTTTACGTTGTTTATTAAAGATTTAATTTATGTGTCAGAATACAACTAAAACTTTAAAAAAAATGTAAAATTAAATATTTTTAAAACCACAAGTTAAAAGACTTTCTTTGCAGAAATCTGAAATTTGAAAAAGCAAATGCTAGTATGTCTGTCTTGTTTAGTCAATTTTGTATGCGACGCTTTGATAACTAGAGAATATATAATACGGACGTAATGAAGACAAATTCTAGTAAAAACAAGTCGTTAGTCAATCGATCTTTCTTCCGTGTCTTTCGGAAAGACTGCATTGATATTTAATAGGCGCGTCAAAGATTCATTAATTTCTGAATATTTCGGCAAAACTCATTTGAACTGATGATGTTTGGTTTTTGATGACGCAGTCTCATAAATGTCATCTTTAGTGCCAAAATGTCTTCGACTTTACAAATGAAAAATGCTTGCCATACTTAAACAGGGATAGAAGGGAATTCAATGAAATAAATCGTTTAAGGAATAGAAATTTTGTCAATAACGTTTAATTGTTTATATAAATAATTAATTAAATATATCTTTCTTTGAATAGGTTATTAATATTATATTTAATACCTTTAAAGGATATTTAAAAAATATGAGATTAATTTTCTTTTTTTTTAAAACGTGAATAGATATAATAGAGTCCAACAGCGGCCGAGCGGTAAAGTCCTTGAACACTGGTAGTTCGATTCCGAGGTTCGAATGCTCAGAAAGGTCTGGCTGCATGCGCGTTTTGTGGTTTTCCACATGTGTAACGTGCTTATACGAGCCAGTTTCTCTTATAAAGCCCTCCACGAAGGCGTCCCTCCTTTCCGTGTAGTGCCTTATGGCAGAACACATAAAATAATAGTAATAGTTAAGTAATCTAATTGGCTTACTGAATATCTAATTTCAGCCGATACGTTGCCAGAAATCGCAAGGTTTAGAAGTAGTAATAACCTTACAATGGGAAACCAAGTACTACGAACAAATAGCTAATTATAAGAACGCACACACAAAAAGTTCTGAATAATTTCAGATTTTAACGGTCTCCTAAAAGGGTTTGTTAAGATCTTTTTCCCTCTTGCTGAGCTCGCAGTCTACCAGTTTGCTGTTTCACTCACTCCAGCTAGCCCCCTATTTTTGTCTTTTTAGCTTTATTATTAAGCATCATTTTCTTCACACTTACGCCGTATGCAACAGCAAAATCAAAATTTTAAAAGAAGCATAGCAGTACATGCTTAGAATTCCAGAATTTAGAACTCTGCTACATTCCAAAGCGCTGGCATATATGCTTTCTATTTTTTTTCAGTCCATATTCAGGTTTAAGATGGCTTACAAAACTTTTTTTTTGTCTTGTATCATGAATGTATTGTGTATGAACTTTGTTTATTAAATATCACATTCACTTACGCGACATAAAATTGCGATTCAATATCAAAATCACAAAATATTTAAAAATAGTATATTTTCAGATTTCCCGAAAGACAGTTTATTACCTAATAACCTTCAAGATTAAATTTCAAAGTATATTACGCTTTTCTGAATCTTGAGGTATTGCTGAATCTTTCCATGCACCAGCGTTGAAGAAGAAAATATTTTATTTTCGGCTTTAGTAATACACTGTTTTCATTAAGCCTAGTTTTTTAATAAAAATTGAATAAAACATATCTTACATTTTTTCGAATGGCAACAGTTTCACATGCATTCCGTAAGTATTGCCATTGCTTCCTTTCAATTCGTTGAATCTGTTTATCGAAAATTCATTAAAGTTTTAGAAAATATGAAATAAATAAGAAAAAAGTATAATACGTCATTCTGTGAATATAATAAAGATTTTTCATTTCATAGATTATGAAATAAATCCATTTTTATTGTATAAATCAAAACTAAGAAACTAAGAACTGCATCTTTTGCTTTCAAATAGTAGCTTAATTTGGTAATCCACAACAGACGCATTCAACTTGGAAGATAAATATCTTATATTCTGCAGAATGGCAACAGACTTAAATGAAAAATGAAACTGCGTATTTATAGTCATTCGACTCAAAATACCATTTCCAGAATAAATAGCCTTTTAGGCCATAAAAAGGAGCTGAAGATGTAGATTGAAAGAGATTAAAGAAATATTTTTGAGGCCAGAAGAAATTAAATTTAATCGTAGTAATGACAATAATAATTTTTAAGAGGTAGCAATATTGTGTTTTAGTATACGGTATGGCGTATTTATATATGGCATGGCAGGAAAAGCTACCTGCATAATGGGAGAGATACCCTCATGAAGGATTTCTGATCGAAATTTGAATTTAGGTTCACATGGAGAAAAACACACAAATGTAAATGCAGTTCACCGGACTTTGAATCCAAGTGAAACCAATAGGAAATAGCGATTCTGCCATTTGGACGCTGGTGAAATCGTGTTTCACCTTAAAATTAAAAGTGAGAAGACGAAATTGAATATACATGGTGAATCTGAGCAAGAAGGCAAAACGTTAGGGAGTGCCAGAAAAGAGCTATACAAGCGATATTCGTCTTAGAATGTATGATTGGGATGGAAGCGAAGCGAAGTTCCCCACTGTCACATTTAGAGAAATATTTCAAGAATGAAAATGGATACTTCAGAAAACATTTTGTTACCAGAAAGTACTTGTAGAAATTACTCAAAAGACCTTCCGCCAGCTGCAATGCAGGCTTCACACCTGCGGGATTGATGCGCATTCGCCAAGACAACAAGCATTTCTAGAATATCGCTGACAACAACGGCGATCCTAGCGACTAACTCCACATTGGTTTCGATATGCCACTCGTAAATTAGGCTTGTCATATGGCCCAACAGAAAAACTCCAAACACGAAAGATTGGGTGACCTTGGTGGCCAAGCTATGGGACCACTTCCACCAATATATACTTAAGAACTGTATCTTTGGAAACGCTGGAATTTCGTGGTTCGTATAATCAGCAGTCCTCCCGGCAATCCACAGTAGAAAATACAGTTGGATGTGAAGACCGATTATTAATAATGCCACATAGCGGTTTGCCGTTTGCGTTCCGACTATACATTCTATGACGAATATTGCTGGTATATGTGTCTTGTCTTCTAACACCTCCTAAAATTTTGCCTTCTTGTTCAGGTTCACCCTGCATACATTGAATATTGCAGCAATATGTTTTCTAAACCACAATGGTTTGATTTCGCGCACTTTGCTCCCTGAAGAATCTTAAATATGGTGCAATTCAATTTACTTTAATTAAATTATGAATGGCGGCGCTCACACAGCCATTTTATACCTTAAACTAAATTTAGCTCACAGTCTTTTAATTACTGTAATTTATATCACGATGTGAAGAGGCATAAACGTGTTAAATCAGATTGAATCATATTAAACAGGCTGAAAGTGTTGTGCTCTCAGGAGCGTGATTTAGGCAGTATAAAAGCACCAGTTATATCAAATTTAAGGTCAAGAAGGATTAATCGAAATCATCATTCTAAAACTCAAATCGAAATATAAATACAATTATTCTTTTGTTACTTCATGAGTTTAATATGAATATATAATGGTTTTTAATCAAAATCCTGTAGTCGGAAATAATTGCGAAACCTTCACGAATTCTTTAACAGCTATTGTAAGATAATTTTAGAACATGCATCGGTATTGAGCAAAGTCAAAATAACCATAATCTCAATTCGAACATAGCGTTTGAATGAAAGCAACATTTTTGAATAGTTCCCGTAATTATACATTTCAAACTCGCAGCTTTCCATTGCAATATTAAAGATGTTTATAAATGAAATTACGCCGCTAAATCACTTGGGTCGTAAAAAGGCACCCTTTCCATCATGCATTGTTAATCATATATATAACGTTGTTTATGTTCTGAGGAAATTCGTATAAAAATGTATATTTCTATATTTGGAATGAAATTTATCATGGTCAATATGACAAGGCGAATGCACCTAGAAGACAGCTCAAATTCATCATGATGATGAAGGTCTGTTGTTATTTTATATGGATACTAGCTGCGGCTTTTAAATGTACAGGAAAAATGCCTAAAGGGAACACCAAACAATAAATTTAAAAACTGCACAGAATTTGACTCTGCAGAACAATTTTATCCCCCCCCAAAAAAATAAATAAAAATGTATTACATATTAAAAAATTGTAATAAGCAATACTCCTTAATGCAAATATTAATTATCTTCATAAATAAATTAACCCACTTCCCGTTGACTTCTCTCGACAAATGCCCAGTATCTAAGAGAAACATTAAAGTAAAAATCTGCCCTCATTTTTCCGAGTGGCAACAGTGCTGATATTGGCAACAGTGATATATCAATAACAATGGTTGCGTGCCATTTTTGCTGATATAATGAGAGAGAATTACCGATTTGAAACGATTTTATCAAAAACATAAAATAAAAAAAATCATTCGAATTTTGAAAACATCGCTTCCAGGTGCCCTGGCTCTTGTCTAGATGCATTTATGTACCAAATTTTCGTAGCCCTGGGGCAATTACATTACGAATGACAGACACACACACAGACAGACTCTTCTTTTTACATATATGTAATGCTTTAAAATGCGCAGATGAAGGCTCTGGAACATTTAACAGCTTTCAATATTGCGTCATGGCTGAGAAGA